AATTAACAAAAAAGTTCTTAAGTTTGACATTTGACCAATTGGACCTAATAGATACCTATATAACATGCTACCCAACAATTACAGAATATACATTCTTCTCACCTGTATATGAACATACTCTAATATTGACCATGAGCAATGTCATTAAGCAAGTGTCATTAAATTAAAAAAAGCTAAATCATACCAACCTATGCTCAGATCGGACTGGAATAAAAATGGAAATCAATACAAAGAGGAACTCTCAAAACCACACAAACTACGTGGAAACTAAACAACTTGTCCTAAATGAATTTTGGGTAAACAACAAAATTAAGGCAAAAATTTAAAAAATTATTAGAAAAAAACGAAAATGCTGACACAACATAATAAAACCCCTGATATGTGGCAAAAGCAGTGTTAAGAGGAAAGTTTATAGTGATAAATGCCTACATCAAAAAGAAAGATCTCAAATTGACAATTTAAATTTGCATCTAAAGAAACTACAAGAATAAACTAAACCCAAAGCTAGCAGAAGAAAAGATAACTAAAGTCAGAGCAGAAATAAAACTGAGATCCCAAAAATCATAGGATCAATGAAGGAAAAGTTGGTTCTTTGAAAGTATAAACAAGATCAATAGAACACTCTGGCTAAATTAACAAAGTAAAAAGAATACTCAAATGAGCAAAATCAGAAATAGTGAAACTGACATTACAACCAATTCCACAGAAATACAAAAGATCCTCAGAGACTATTAGGAACACCTTTATAAACAAAAACGAGAAAAACTAGAGAAGATTAATAAATTCCTGAAAATTCACAACCTTCCAATATTTATTCAGGAAGAAACTGAAAACCTGAAGAGACCAATAATGAGTTTTATAATTGAACTAGTAATAAAACATCTACCAACCAAAAAAAAGCACTGGACCAGATGGATTAACAGCTGAATCCTATCAGATGTATAAAGAAGAGCTGGTACCAATCCTACTGAAAGTATACCACAAAATTAAGGAGGAGTGATTTCTCTCTAACTTCTTCTGTGAAACCAGTATTATTCTTATTTACTCTTATACTAAAATCTAGCAAAAATACAACCAAAAATAAAACAATGGTCAGTATCCCTGATGAATACAGATGTAGCAATTCTCAACAAAATACCAGCAAACTGAAACCAGCATCACATTAAAAACCTGGGGTCTGTTAGGGAGGGCTAAGTGAGGGACCACAGGGAGTAGGGAGGTTGGGGAGGGATAACATGGGAAGAAATGCCATATATATGTGACGGAGGGGATAGGGGCAGCAAACCACATTGCTATATATGTACCTATGCAACAATCCTGCACGATCTGCCCATGTACCTCAGAACCTAAAGTACAATTAAAAATATACACACACACACACATACACACACACACACACACATACACACACACACACACACACACACACACATATATATATATGCCAATTCAGCACAATAAAATGGGCTTTATTTCTGGCATGCAAATTTAGTTCAACATACACAAGTCAATAAATGTGATTTACCACATAAACAGAACTAAAAACAAAAACTATACAATCATCTCAATAGACACAGAAAATGCATTTGATGACATTCAACACCCTTTCATGATTAAAACCCTAAAAAACTAGGCATCAAAGGAATACTCCTCAAAATAATGAGTCATTTATGACAAACCCATAATGAATATCATACTAAAACAGCAACAAATGGAAGTATTACCCCTAAGAATGGTAACAAGGCAAGGATGTCTACTCTCTCACTTCCATTCAATGTAGTACTGGAAATCCTAGCCAGAGCAATCAGCAAGACAAAGAAATAAAAGGCATCCAAACTAGAAAAGAGGAAGTCAAATTATTTCTCTTCACTGGTGACATGATTCTATACCTTGGAATTGTAAAGACTCCACAAAAAGACTTCTAGATTCAATAAACAACTCCAGTAAAGTTTTAGGATAAAAATCAATGTAAAAAATCAGCAGCAGTTCTATACACCAATAACATTCAAGCTGAAAGCAAAATCAAGAATATTATCCCATTTACAATAGCCACAAAAGAATAAAATACCTACAAATACTGTGTATATTTGCTTTATATACAGATATAACCAAGGAGGTGAAAGATCTCTAGAAAGAGAACTACAAAACATTGCGGAAAGAAATCATAGAAAACAAAAACAAAAAAGTCCCATTTTTATGGATTGGAACAATGGATATTGTTAAAATGTTCATACTGCTCAAAACAATGTATGGATCCAACGCTATTCCTATCAAATTATGAACATCATTTTTCACAGAATTAGAAAAACCAATTCAAAAATATTTATAGAACTAAAAACAGCTAGAACAGACAAAGCAATCTGAAGTAAAAGGAACAAAGCCAGATGAATCACATTACCTGACTTCAAACTATGCTATGAGGCTACAGTAATCAAAACATGGTACTGGTAAGGAAAAAAAAAAAAANAAAAAAAAAAAAAAGGGACACATAAACCAATAAAACAATATAGAAAACTCAGAAGAAAAGTCACATACCTACAATAAACTAATCTTTAACAATATTGATAAAAATAAACAATAGGGAAAGGACTTCCTGTTCAATAAACGGTGCAGAGAAAACTAGCTAACTATATGCAGAAGCATAAAACTAGACCTCTACCTCTCACCACATACAAAAATTAATGCAAATTTAATCAAAAACGTAAATGTTAAAACTTCCAACTATAAAAATCCTGGAAGAAAACCTAGGAAATACTCTCCTGAATGTCAGCCTAGGCTGACGTTTTTATGACTAAGTCCTCAAAAGCAAACAAAAAGAAAAACTGAAGAACTAATTAAACTAAAGAGCTTTTGAACAGCAAAAGAAACTACCAATGAAGTAATCAGACAACCTACAGAACTGGAGAAAGTATTTGTAGACTATGCATTTAACAATGGACTAATATCCAGAATCTATAAGAAACTTAAGTAAAAAAAATAAACACACAAAAAGTGGGCAAAGAACATGAACAGGCACTTCTTATAAGAAGGCATGCAAGCAGCTAATACATGCAGGAAAAAAAAATGCTTGACATCACCAGTTATCAGAGAGACACTAATCAAAACCACTATGAGATGTCTTCTCACACCAGTCAGAATGGTTGTTATTAAGAGGTCAAAAAATAACCAATGTTGGCAAGTTTGCAAAGAAAAGGGAATACTTATACACTGTTGGAATCATTAGTTTAGACACTGTGGAAAGGAGTTTGGAGAATTCTCAAATAACTAAAGACAGAACTACCATTCAACCCATCAATCCCATTACTTGGAATCTACCCAAAGAAAAATAAAGCATTCTATCAACAAGATACATGTACTCACATGTTTTTCACAGTATTATTCACCATAGCAAAGACCTGAATCAATTCTGGTGCCCATCAATGGTGGATTGGATTTAAAAAATGCATCACATAGATGCCACGGAATACTATGCAGCCATAAAAAAGAACAAAATAATTTCCTTTGCATGAATATGGATGCAGCTGGAGGCTATTTTCCTAAGTGAACTGATATAGAAATAAACAACCAAATATCACATGTTCTCACTTATAAGTGGGAGCTAAACATTGGATACGCATGGACATAAAGGTGAAAACAACAGTTACTGGGAAATCAAAAAGGGAGGATGAGAGGAAGGAAAGGACTGAAAAACTTCCTACTGGGTACTGTGTTCCTTATTTATGTGATGGAATCAATAGAAACCCAAACCTCAGCATCACTCAATATACCCTTATAACCTTGTAACCTGCACAGGTACACCCTAAATAATTCATTCATTCATACATACATATGTACATAAAAATGTAAAAATTACATTCTTAGCCAGGCTCTGTGATGGATGCCTGTAATCCCATCCACTCGAGAACTTGAAGCAGGAGGATCACTTGAGTCTAGGAGTTTGAAACCAGCCTGGGAACATAGGGAGATCACATTCCCCAAAAACAAATCAGTTTTCCATACTCCAATCCCAAAGATCTGGATTCAGTTCACCTGGGCTGAGACCCAATACACTATTTTTAATACCAGAGAATTCTGACACATGTGGCCCATAGACTTTCTTTAAGGATCAGTGAATAGTGATTCGGAGTATTATCTGAATTCACTTAGGGCTCATGCTGAATTCTCAGATCCGGTATCCTCCTAATCTCTATGACCTCTCTAGGAGCATGATAGAAGAGGGGCTTTTTGAGACACACACTGGAGCTTATTACCTTGAAAAAGTATTAACAACAAACCCCATAAATTTATGTTGAAAGACTACCCATAGTTACCCTTAAAGTCTTGAAATTGTATAAAGTCCTCTATTTTTCTCAAAGTCCTATTTCCTGGAAACCTTCTTCTCCCCATCCCTACATTTCTATAACTAAGTCCTTAATCCCCAATATCTCCTGATCCACCTATCTGCTAATGCAACAGTGACCATGCCAGTCACAAAGGCAAAATATGATGACTAGCAGTAAGATGACAATGTGGTAAGCTGGATGAAAAAAAACAGTCTCTTGTTAAGATCTTGAAGATTTTCTCCCCTTTCTTAATGTCTTTTCTTGATGATATTATTGTCAGGAAAGTACATCCCTTGGAGCCTTCCCAGATTTGTTCATTTCCCACAAATTTAGATGATGCCTACTGTAAAGCAGCACATTTATTATTTAAGCGCTATTAGCCCTAGCATTTGATCCACACAATGGAATACAGCAGGAGTGCACCCTTCTACCAGCTCAGAAATGCCTGCTTACCAATCTGTGTTAAAGTCCAGCCCAGCAAAACACTGCACATTGCCAGCAAAACTTACTTCTACATTCTTTTATGTTCTGTTTGCTACAAGCAACCATGAAGCTTGGTTTCAAGGATTAATTAGGGGAGAGGAAATTGAGCAATTTTACTATGGAGAAAAATTTTTCTGTATATCAATTGCACCTACCCCTTTTCTGATCTAACTTTTTGTTGAAAGGCACAATGGGAGACAAATGACGACAGTGTCTTATCATGGAGTCATGGGAGAATATAAGAAGAAAATGCAGTAAGTTGGATAAAAAAGAGAAGAAACGTGAAAATGTTTGTTAGCTCAGCCTGCCATAATAAAATACCATAGACTAAATACCAGAGCTTGAGCAATAGAAATCTCTTTTTTCCAGTTCTGAAGACTGAGAATTCTGAGACCAAGGTGCTGGCCAATTCATACAAGGGTCTTCTTTCTGTCTTGAAGACAGCTGCCTTCTTGCTGTATCCTTACATGGTACAGAGAGAGAGAGAGAGAGAGAGAGAGAGAGAGAGAGAGAGAGAGAGAGAGAGAAAGGGAATGAGGATAAGAGAGAACACTAGCTCTCTCATTTCCTTTTTCTTTTCTTTGGGAGACGGAGTCTTGCTCTGTTGCCCATGCTGGCATGCAATGGCAACATCTCAGCTCACTGCAACCTCTGCCTCCCAGGTTCATGCAGTTCTCCTGCCTCAGTCTCCTGAGAAGCTGTACTCTAAGTGCACACCACCACGCCTGGCTAAATTTTTGTATTTTATTAGAGACGGGGTTTCACTGTGTTGCCCAGGCTGCTCTCGAACTCCTGGGCTCAGGCAGTCCACCTGCCTCAGCCTCCCAAAGTTCTAGAATTATTAGCATGAGCCACTGTGCCCAGTCTTTTCCTTCTAATAAGACTACTAATCACATCATAAGGGCCCCAGCTTTATTACCTCATCAAAAGTAACTCCCAAAGACCTCATCTCAAAAATATCATCACATTAAGGTTTAGGGCTTTGACATATAGATTTCAGAGAGACACAACTCATTACATAGCCATGGGTTTCACAGGCCATTCTGCCACCTACCAGCCTGTGACCTTGACATGTTATCTAATTCTTCCAGACTTCTACAAACCTGGAGAAATGAACTTGAGACAAAGTGAAAGGGTTCTGGAAGTCTTGAGATGTAGAAACAGATATAACTACATCATAAATGTATGGAAAGATATTTTCTGACTGCCAAATATATGTGTGAATGTGGGGAGAATATTCAGGGGGTGGAGGCAATAAACTGACCTCTGGAGATGGGGAGGAGGGCAGGTGTCATAGCCCTACAAGGCAGTAGCAATAGATGCTGTAAATGGAAATGTAAGCATAGATAAGACAGTACATATGGAAGTACAAAGGAACATCTCAAGTTCCTGGGAGAATTGGTGAAACAGAAAAAGAGGAGTAGGAACCTTTGACTGCTGTTCATTGCCTGTTTTTCGTTTGTTTAAACTGAAGTCTTCCTCCCCCCGCCCCAAGTTGATTGCATTTGTACTTAGAGAAAAGATGATATAGCATAACATAGGATTTAAATTACTAGACTGACTTACTAGATTTTAAAAGGCAAGGTCCAGTCATTTTACAATGATTTGGATCAGAAAGAACCAGCCCATTTCAACATTTTCCCTTTCTTTACAGGTTAGAGGAAGATTTCAGAGGCTATGGTCTAACACAAACCTGAATAGTACTATGAACCTCCAAAATGAGCTGGCAGGAAGGGAGTTTGGAGCCCTATATGAGTCACTTTCCAGGGTAAAGCCCAGGGAAGAGTGAGATTCTGAGTTCTACACTCCAACACAGAGAAAGAACAATAGAACAGAACTGTCCACGTGGCATGTGGAGGCAGGTAGAGCTCAAGGGACTTCATCTACCTCCCTTCCATCCATTCAGAACTGGGGAACCATAAATGATTTTGCATGCAGAAAAGTGGTGAGAGATCTTGTCCCCACTGAGTTTCTGTGTGTCTAAAGTGGCTTGGGATGGCTACTCGGTGTTCTTTTCTTATCTAAAGAGCATAGCAGTACCTGAGAGGCAGACCTGAGAATATCCTGCAGTGAGGTTGATGAGACATGAACTCAGTTCTAGGAAAAGGTGTATGTATGTCTACATACATCTCTAGTATTTCATGTGGAGGGATGATGATTGTCTTAGTCCATTAGAGCTGCTATCACACGATATTATTAACTGAGTGATGATTTAATTCTCATAGTTCTGAAGGTTGGGAAGTCTAAAATCAAGTTGCTGGCAGATTCAGTGTCTGGTGCGAATCTGCTTTCTGATTCTTAGATGTTGCCTTCTCACTGTGACCTCACATGGTGAAAGGGGCAAGGGGGCTTCCTTGGGTCTCTTTTCTAAGGCCACTAATCACATTCATGAGGGCTTGCCTTTCATAACCTGATCATCTCCCCAAAGGCCTCACCTGCTAATACAATCACCTTGGGGATTAGGATTTCAATATATGAATTTCAAGAGGACACAAACATTTAGACCATAGCAATGACCAAGAACTGTGGCTTTACATGGCCATGCGCCAAGGCTAGGGGAACATCTAAGGCACTGGGAACCTGGGAAAAGATGGGAAGCCAGGATACTGGACTGCCCAACATCAGGTTCTACCACCCAGCGAAGCAGGAAATATATGTTTATTCATTCAAAAATAATTTTTTGCACACCTGAGTTTTGGAACTGATATTTCTATGCACTGCAGCTGAACAATTATTATCAATTTGACCCATTAGGAACAATAAAATCTGGGTCAGAACCCACCTACAGCTCAGAATTTGAGTTGGGGGTTGGGGAACATATAGTAGGCATCAAAGGAAAATGGGAAGAATCTAGGATATGTTAGGAAGGGAAATCCTCAAGCTTTAAATGTATTGCAGGGTGTGCAGCAAGGATGTGAAAACTAGAGTTGCCTTCACAATGAAGTGGCATACTGCATATAAGCTGACAGGAGCATTTCTGATGCCCTGCTCAGAAGAATAGACGAGTTGGATGATTTTCCTCTGGGAAATGGGATCTATTTTAAATGGGGATCTTAATGCTACAATTACAGCTCAGTTGTCTATGTACCAGCATTATGAGCCTTAAACAAGGGCACAATATGAATCAGGCCCCAGGAAACCTGTCTTCTACACCCTGATCCACCTTACAAAATAAAAGAGAAATAAGTAGTAAAAGGTGAACTTGAGTTAGAGTCAGTCTCAATTCTGAGTTTTAGGTATTTTATCATGACGAACAAGATTAAGAGTCCCATGGTGTTTTTTTGGGGGGGATGGAGGGAGGGTCTAGGGAGTCACTCGAATTTAGAATATAAGCCAGAATACAGGAGAATTAAATGATGCAAGAAAGACCAAAGTTAGTAGGATTAATAAGGGCAGTATAGGACTTTATGTGCCTAAGCTGAATACATACCTGGCTGACCACAAAAGTGACTGTTAACCTATTAAGCTCAACAAGAACTTGTAGGTCTCCTTCTTGTCTTAGGACTCCAGAAACCACAGTTAATGAGATTACTCAGCTCTTCTGGGAAGACAATGTATTCTAATGATGGCCCATTCCACATGTTGTCTTTTTTAGTGACACTCCTCTCTATCCACAGGTGAGATCTATGTAATTCTCCTTAGATCTGGGTGGGGCATTAAAATTATTCCATCCAATAGATTATGATAGAAATGTTGCTATATTGTCTTCCAAGGCTGAATCCTTGGGCTATAGCTTCCACCTGTCTCTCTTGATCGCATTCTTAGGATGTGTGCCTTGAGCAGCCAGCAACCATGCTGTGAAGAGGCACAAACGAGCCTAGACAGATAGATGAGGTGGATAGGCTTACATGGAGTGGAACTGAGGTCCCCAGCCAGCAGCCAGCATCCACCACCAGCCCAGTGAGTAAATGAAGCTTCAAATGATTCTACCACTCAGCCTTTGATCTGCTTCAACTGTTGCAATGCAGAACAGAGATAAACTATCCCACTAAATCCTGACCAAATTACAGATTCATGAACAAAACAAATTTGTCTTGTTTTGAGTTACTAAGCATCAGGACATATTTTTTACACTACTAAAGGTAACTGTGACTCAGCAACAGGCCTCACATGCCTGACATTACTCACACAAAATGATAAATTCATTTTGAGATCGTTAAAAAGTGACTCTAATTTTGCTTCATTGTTAACTTGGAATTATCTATGACCTCTCCAACTCTATGCCTTCTGGCCCAGTAAATCCCAAATAAATGAATATTATTATCTGAATTGAATATTAAAGTTAACTGAGAAGTCCCATGTAACAGCAAAAGTTCTAGACGCAGCCTGTTTCACAGATGAACATACAGATTTCCAGCAGGAAAGAAAATATAATGGCCAAATATATTTTTTTTCTTTTTTGTCAAGTTCTCATTCTGAAGTACAGTGGTGCTATCTCAGCTCACTGCAGCCTCTACATCCTGAGTTCAAGTAATTCTCCTGCCTCACCTTCCCAAGTAGCTGGGATTACAGGCATGTACCATCACCCCTGGCTAGCTAAGTATGCTTTAACAGTGAAAGTAAAAACTGTTAAGTTCTATCAAAAAACAGCTTACTTGAATGAAAAAAGCAGTAAATGCATAGTGAAAAAAACTGGGTTGAAATTTTCACACAGTCATTTTCTAGCTGAGCAAGTCACTTAATTTAGCCAGGCCTCAGTTTCCTCAAAAGCAAAACCCAGTGGTTTTTATCCTCAAAAGCAAAACCCAGTGGGGAATAATACCTCATTGGCACACTTCTTGTGAAGATTTAATTCAATGGATTAACAGACAGAAAAGTGCTCTAGATTGTTACACGAAAGAAAATAATGAATAAAAATTTTTTAAAATGATATTTTCAAAAAGGACCAGCTAAATCTTAAATGTTAAAACAGCCAGCTAAATCTTAACATTAATCAGAGGTCTACTCTTCACTTAGGAAAATTAAGGACTTATTTCATTAACCTGTATTTAGTGGTAGTACATGAAACTTACTTTCAATTTACTGATAACCATCTTACTAATTTCTATTTTGGGCAGCTGTGGTTTTAAATGTGCCTGGCTTCTTAGAGTTTCATCAGCTGATGCTTGGCTGTTATCCAAAACATAAGCTACAGGGAATGAGAGCTGGCAGCATTGGTATTATATTTTTGATGTTTGAAAATCCCAACCAGTTTAGAGGTTTTTTTAATAAAGCATTTTAATATCAATGAATTAACAGCTTAATGTCAGGAACAAGGTAAAACAAGAGAGAGAAACCTTGATATAAAACATTTTTCTAGGAAAAAAGATCCCCGTAACTGAAACCTTTTTACACTCTTGTTTAAAACCTAACATACCTGAATTAAATAAGGTGTCATGGTGGACAGAATGAGAAAGCTTATTCTGTGATGCTTTCTGGTACACTTTACATAAGAATCATCAAATGGCATTCACTTGCAGCTGCCCTCACCCTGGGCTTGATTTCCCAGAACTTCCATTATCATAGGCACAATTCCCTGACCCCTCAGAAATGCTGCAAAGGCCTTCCTGGTTGAAGACACTGAAGCCTCTTGCTGAAGAAGAAATCACACCACAGCTGTGCTCCCCTGGGGCTTGTGCTCTGTTGAGAACTAAAGCCCCACAGTTCTTACAAGGGGGGTCCAGGAACCATGCCTATGAGCTTTCCGAGACTGTTTGAGAAATCAGTTATCCTCACCGTAACGCATAGAAGTAGGAGTGAGATTTTAGCTGACTGCCGCCACTCCAAGCAGTCCTCTTTTATGACAAAGTGAGTGAAACATCACACGTTGGCATTTTAGAGGCTACATCTGGGTTTCACCAGTTAGATGTAAGGGTCCCGAGCCACCGTAAATATGTGCTTCGGGCAGCAGTTCAAATCCCACTTCGGTCACGTGTCACATGGATAAGCTCAGGAAAACTACTTAAGTTAAAATCTGCTGATAAAAGAAGTTCAGAATTTATTGAACCATTATGAAGATGAACTAGGATAATCCCCAGATAGTTTTAATACCTGGCCCATATAAGCCTTAAAAGGCAATCAGCAGCTAGTATAAAAAAAAAAAAAAAAAAAAAAAACCAGCCAGGCATGGTGGCTCACAGCTATAATCCCAGCACTTTGGGAGACCAAGACAGGCGATTGCTTAAGGTCAGGGGTTCGAGACCATGCTGGCCAACATGGTGAAACTTCATCTCTACAAAAAATAGCCAAGTATGGTGGCAGGTGCCTGTAATACCAGCTACTTGAGAGGTGGAGGGAGGAGAATCGCTTCAACCCAGGAGGCAGAGGTTGCAGTAAGCTGAGATCATTCAACTGCACTTTAGCTTGGATGACAGAGCGAGACTCTGCCTCAAATAATAATACTAATAATAACTACTGTTATTATTACAATATCATACATTTGTTTATTCATACAAACATTTTCTGTACAACAAATGTTTATTAAATGCTAATTATGTGCAAAGTGAGGACAAAGTAACTTCTAAGAAATTAATACAAAATAAATGACCAAAAATTTCTCTGCAGCTACCTCAATTTTACCAGGAGAAAAAGATACGGGACATTTGGGGTCTCAGTATGATTTCTGTAGCTTTGACTTTTCTACTTTCTCCTGTTATCTTGTGAACACGATGTCAAGCGAGATACAGTGTGTGAAAGAGAGCATCATGCCACAGCCTTGCTTGTGAAAAGAGTATTTGAAATATCAACCGTGCTGAAGGGAGGCTGAGAGCAGAGAGATTGACTGTCCAGTGGGTTGGTGGGGTCAACAGGAAGGTGCATCTCAGGAACCTAGAATTATGGTTCATCTATAAACCACCACCAGTTAGATTCCTATAATAATTCACAAAGCCATCTCAATGCAAAGAGCAAAGCTCTAAGTCTAACAGGACCTGAATAAAGTTAAGTGAAAAAGTACTGAAATGCTTGGTCATCAATGGAAGCAAAGAGTCAGGTTGCAGATGCAAATGTTGGCACTCCCCTTCACAGAACTAGCCAGTGTGCCTCTCTGGTCCACATCCCTATTGTAGAAGGAGACAGCAGGCTCTGATAGCTTGATGCCATTCAGCACATCAGTGCTCCAGCTCATGGCTCTAGTTGTCACTGAATCCTCAACAACAATCTTCTTTTTTGATATTGGCTTCGTAAAACATTGACGATATGATTTCTTAGTTTGATTTTACAACTTAATGCCCTAAAATTACAGGCCAAAAACCAGGACAGTGTTCCGTAACGGGGTGATTTTTGCCCTTGAGGGAACATGGTCAATGTCTGGTGACATTTTTGATTGTCACAACCGGGCGGTGCTACTGGCATTTAATGGACAGAGGCCAGGGATGATGCTAAAACTAAACCTGCTACAATGCTTCGGGCACCTTTCTCCCTTCCTCCCTCAAACACAAAAATTATCAGGCTCAAAATGTCAATAGTCCTGGAGTTGAGAGAGTGAGTTAAGAGAAAGTATTTGTTGTCTTTTTTTTTTACTTCTACATTTGATACTGCACTCATGTTTTAAGAAAACTGGCATCTCTTGAGCATTTCACATGAGTAACAGGGCTCTCAAGTGTATTCCTAATTCTCACAACACTCTTTGAGGTCTTTATCAATATCTCCATCTTACACACGGAAAAACTGAGGGTCACAAAGGTTGAACGACTTGCCTAAGGTCACAGAGAACCAAAAATCAAATCCAGATCTGTTTGAAGCACGAGGCATTTTCTGTGACTCCACAGTCATAACTTGAATTCAGAAAAAACATTCCAGCTAACTGAAATTAGGTGGAATTTTAAAACCTGGGAGTTAGCTGGGAATTTAAAAATCTGAGAAAAGTTTCACTGAAGTGGACTCTGGAGAATAGCATCATCTCCTTGCGCTTTGTGGAAAGTATTCCACTGAGCTCTACAGTGGGTAAAGGGTCATGCTGCTGCCTTCAATCATGATAAACACTTAGATCAAGATCAGGCTCACAGTGGATTTATATTGTACCATGCAATGATTTATGTTAATTATTCAATTCTGCGAATGAAATAGCCCATAGTTTTTACAAGGGAGGTCCAAGGAGCCATGCCCATGAGCTTTAAGAAACTGAGAAATCAATTATCTTACTCTGGTGGATAGAGACAAGAGAGGCATCGCAGATGACTGCACCCACCCCAAGCAAGTCCTCTTTGATGACAAAATGAGTGAAACATCCCACATGGGCATTTTAGAGCCTACATCTGGGTCTCACCAATTAATACATCCAGAGATGACCAGTTTCCTTTGACCAAACTTCTTAAAATGTAGCTTGTATCGGAATCATCTGAGAAGCTTACTAAAGATACAGATATTTTGATATTCTATCCCAGAGATTCTTATTCGACAGGAATTTGCAATATTCATAAGCATTTCATGTACTTTTGTTGCAATGGGTCTTAAAACAATCTATGCTGAAAGTTACCTAGAGTAAGTATCTATTTCCAACTTTTTGTTCCTCTCTAGGATTTCTCAATAGAACTACATATTTTTTATATGATGTGTTTTAATTATTTCTTAAAATAGACAAAAAGGATATAAAAATTTTATTAGCAGCCAATGTCTGAGATCAAAACACACCAGAGTCTTTTCTGGAAGGTCCATTCTCATTAACTCAATACTCACTGCACACCTATAAATCGGTGGCCCCCAGTTTACAGCTGAGGAAATAGATTAAGTCACTAAAGGCACACACAATTCCTAGTGGAGTGATTTAGCTCTACTAAAGTGAAATATTCCCTTTAAGCAATTTTATACTGGCTGAAAGATCAGGCAAATATGCAAATAGCTATAGATAGGAAAGATGAAGTGCTATAAAAGAAATACTTTCTTTGCTCT